GGAACTGAATGGCTGTTAGGGCGGGCGGACCATGAGGTCCTGGGGGGGCGGAGCCAAAAGTGTTACTTTAAGCTCTAGAATGTTCCGAGACCTTCTGCGCAAGCGCAGATTAACCCCATCCATTAGTGTGAATTCACAGAGTACCACTCGAAGAACCAAAGTTACAGGTAAGTAACCTCTTTATAGTCTCCAAAGCCTATAAGATACTGGTTCCCCTTTATTCAGCACTGGTTAGGCCTCATCTAGAATACTGTGTCCAGTTTTGGACACCATATTTTAAGAAGGATGGAAGATTAGGGGACTGGAAACCAAGCCCTAGGAGGAAAGACTGAAGGACTGGGCATGTTTAATCTTGAGAAAAGAAGAATGAGTGCACATAGGATAGCACTTTTCAAATACAGTGGTGCCCCGCTTGACGATTACCCCGCTCCATGACAAAATCGCTTCACGATGAGGTTTTTGCAACTGCTATTGCAATTACAAAACGATGATTCAAAGGGGAAAATCTGTTTTATGACAATCAGTTCCCTGCTTAGGGAACCGATTCTTCGCATTACAACAATCAAAAACAGCTGATCGTCGGGTTTCAAAATGGCCGCCCACTGTTTTCTGGACCTATTTCTGGAAGACAACAACTGAAAATGGCTTCCTCTATGGAGGATCTTCGCTGGACGATGAGGTATTTCACCCATTGGAATGCATTGAACCCATTAGAATGCATTTTCAATACATTTCAATGGTTTTTTTCTTTCGCTTGACGACGATATAGCTTAGCGATTTTAACGGAATGGATTATCGTCGTCAAGCGGGGCACCACTGTACTTGAAAGGCTCTCATTCAGAGGAGGATCTGTTCTTGATCATTCCAGGTGGCAAGACATGTAATAAAGGGCTCAAGCTACAGCAAGCCAGATTTAGGCTGAGTATCAGGAAAAACGACTTAACTGTTAGAGCAGTGCGACAATGAGACCAATGATTTCAGGAGGTGGTGAGCGCTCCAGCATTAACTGTTAGAGCAGTGCGACAATGGGACCAATGATTTCAGGAGATCGTGAGCGCTCCAGCACTGGGGGGGTTCAAGAGAAAATTGGACCATCATCTGCCTGATCTGCTTTGATTTGGCTTCCTGCACTGAGCAAGGGGTTGGACTCGATGGCCTTATAAACCTCCTCCAACTCGAACTATTCTGTGATTCTGGGAAGTGGTTAAAATGCAGAATTGTGATGAGCTTTTTTCCCAACCACTGGCTATCCTCCCTGTCCTTCCCTCCTGCGCAGGTGGTGATGACAATCATTGTAGCCTTTATCTTGGAGGCGTTCGTGTTCCGCATGAATTACACACGAAAGAACCGTGATTCAGAAGGTGTGTGGGTCCTATGTACTTGTTTATGCACTTAGGACATACTTACATTTCCCTTCACCCAATGTCAGAGATTCTGCCTGCCTGGAGGTTTACGGGCTAAAACACAGGACACAAAGGGGAAAGGGATTGGTAGGGAAGAGGGAAGAAGGGAGTCCAAGCGTTCATTTCACCTTTGCAAGAGTTTTTTTTAATCCCCCGTGGGAGGAGAAAGTAGGCCTCGAGGTGTCTGGCTTCCGATAGCGCCCTGTCTCTGGTCATAATGGCATGATGATGCTTTTTCTGGAGTGCGAACAAATGGCAGATGACTTCCTGCCATCCAAAGAAGGCGTAGGAGCTTGATGGCAAAGCGCATGTTTTGCATGCAGAAGCGGCTAGGTTTGATTCTGGGTGTCTCTGGTGAAAGGGCAGGTCTGGAAAAGGCATTCTATCTGTTTTCGTGCCCTGGAGAGGACACTCCAGCTTTGCATACAGTGTCAAAACACTAGACGCTGTTCCAAGTCCTCCATACAGAGCACGCTACCGTAGTCTTTTGAGACTGAAGGATGCCTATGTATGATGTCTCATCCACCCCTTTCCCATTTTAAAGTTTGACAAGTCTGAAAATCATGCCTTCAGGGATGTGCTCCTCTTGTAAAACAAGGCACGGGGTCCCCCAGACAAAGGGTTTTGTTATATTTTTGTAACCAAGAATGATCTTTTAGTCGCTTCCTGCTTCTGTTGAACAAGTTGTGTTACTCACAGAGGGGTCCTGGGATGCTGGGCGGGGGGGGGGAGAAATTGCCACCCAGATGTTTAGGGCTGGTTTACAGCTTTGCCTCCAACCCACATGTGGTGCTTTCCGTCGAACGTCTGCTCGGTTTGTGCTGCTCTTCTGCCTTCTCCCCTGTGAGCCTTGTCTTTTTTTCCCCTTCCCTCCGCAGAAGACAGCGGCATTGTCCTGGAGAGGGAAGTCTCCCGAGAAGAAATGACTGCTGTCGCTGAAGTATATCGTAGGGGCGGCAGTGCGGTGGCTGCGGGCCAGCTGCTCAAGGTCATTTCCCAGATGGACAGGCACCGGGTGAGTAAGAGAGAGAGAGAGAGAAAGAGTGTGTATGTGTTCTGGGATCTCCTGTTCACATCTTTCCAAGATAACTTTCCTCCCCTCTTACTGTTGCGGAGGATGACTTGTCTCCTACGAGATAACAGACGAGTCACTTCAGTAAATGTCAAGAGAGCGTCCTCTTGTGGCCACTGATCCTTAAAGGAGAAGATAAAAGCAGCCGATTGTGCTCTTGCTTCGGATTGCATGTTAGGTATGACCACTTTCCCCCTGTGCAAGTAAGGGCAGAAAAAGGAAACCAGCAACACATGCCCCCATATTGGGAAGTCAAGATTGAGAACAGATTCCCAGCGCAGTTCTTAGTGATGGAATAAATGGAACATGTGCACACCATTCATGCCCAGCCATGTACACCGGTCTCCCTTTGCCAACATGTACCTCTGTTTAGGGGAAAAGTTATGCTGACATCATCCTGTTTGCTGTGCAGATGGTGCTTGTCAAAGCTGGCCAACCTGCCTAGAAGACTGAAATCCCAACACTGAAATCATAGATACTGGCTAAGCCTGAAGCTTAGCATAGTAAATCATGCTAGAGGAGGCCCATTGAATCTAGGGGCTTGGTGAGCCAACCCCTCTCTCAGATTCATTGATTCAAATAGGCTTACTTTAGAGCCTGGGGCCGGTGTCCATAGCTCAGCTCCTCCTGCGGCGCTAAGTGCGCACTTGGCCACCCTCGGTGTCATGCAGACACTCAAGCTTTTCTTGTACCTGCCAGCCGGAAGAAGTCCATAAACAGTCGGGAGCCCCGGTTTGGCCAGCATCCCCCCCTTGTCCTTCCCCAAACAGGCTGATTCAAGGAGCGTATTCTAGTCCAGTCTCTGACACAATGCAACAGGATTGTAGCCCCGGGGTTCCCCTCCCAGCGCTTTCCAAATGGGTGCTGTCCAGATATTCTGATCTTCAGCTCACATAGGTCCCCGCTAGTCTTGCCGGTTTCCAGAAGGATAGGGAATCGCCGCCTAAACTGGACACACGGCTGGTTGGAAGAGGACTGATGGAGTATCATTCATGTCAGCTTCTTCTTACCCTCTGGTACTACAAAGAGGCAGGTATATTCCCCTCTCTCTTACTGTTTGCCTTTTCTGGCCTTAGCAAACGTCTATGCTGTTCCTGGGACGGAGATCAAGGACCAAAAGCGATTTAAGCATGAAAATGTATGAAGAAGAGATACAGGTAAGGGGTGTCCCCCGGCAGTCCTCCTAACAAGACCCAAATCCTGCCAGAGCCTTGGTGAGTCCTGTGCTCAGGGGTGTCTCGGCGCCTACAGAACTGACCGGGAACCCTCAGCTTTTCCCATCAGAGGAGACTTGAGTGAACTAGCCTTCGGTAGTGGACCTTCTGCTGCCTTTTTAAGGTTCGAGCCGAGGCCTGCTACAGATTTTGTGCATCTCGCCATGAGGCCTGCATCTCTGGGAAATCCGTTCACGTGATGTCCTTTATTACCTGTACAGTGGTGCCTTGCTTAACAACGATAATCCGTTCCAGGAAAATCGCCGTTAAGCGAAAACATCGTAAAACGAAATTAAAAACCCCATTGAAACGCATTGAAACCAATTCAATACGTTCCAATGGGGTAAAAACTCACCGTCCAGCGAAGATCCTCCATACGGGAGCCATTTTCGCTGCCTGTATAGCGAGGAATCCGTCCCTAAACACAGCAGGGAGCCATTTTAAGCACCCGGCAGCCATTTTGAAACCACCAATCAGCTGTTAAAAAAACATTGTTTTGTGAAGAATCAGTTCCCGAAGCAGGGAACTGATCATTGCAAAGCGAAAAAACCCTATTTAGACCATCGTTTTGCGATCGCAATTGCGATTGCAAAAATATCGTACAGCGATTTCATCGTAATGCGGGGCAATCATTAAGTGAGGCACCACTGTAGTCACATTCTCTGGTCTGCTTCCTGGAGCACATGCATGATTGTCTGTGCAAGTATTGATACTTTGAGGACAGGCCGGGAGAGAAATACATGTTCCCAGTGTCTTCTCTCTTTATAGGAGTGGTATGAGGAACATTCCCGGAGAGAAGAAAGGCAGCTTTCCTGGACAGAGGATGATGAACTGCTCAATCAGCCCTTGCAGCCTCCAGGCCTCCGCCAGCGCTCTCAGACCATTATCTAGGAACCCAACTAACAGGAGCTGCTTCTTTTCCAGTGTACTAACTGTCTCTTCCTTCTTAACTTCACCACGGATGGGTTGCATTAATGCATAATATAGCCTAGCAGAAGAACCTCTTCTGGAGTTTGCTGTATTGGACCCTGCTGGGCACACTGGCCGAGAAGGCCCTAGAGGCAGGACTTAAGGCCTTTCTCGAGGCCCAGAACCCCATACAAGGAAATGTGGGCAGCAGGGGTCAGCCTGAGCCTGGGAATTCCCGACCTGGGCCCCACATGTCACCAGACTTCACCTCCTAGACACATGGCCAATCATGGTCAGGAATTCTGGGAGTTGACATCTGGGACCCCACGTGCAGGGGGGCCACTGCCAGGGCCTATAGGTCTAGCATTCTGTCCAGGACAAGATAGGGATTTCAAGCTGTCTTGTCTCCATAAACGATCCCCCAAGTCCTGCGCTATTCGTATGCCTGGCAGTAACTTTTCAGAGGTGGAGTGTATCTGCCACCCTGCAGAGTTTGGGCAACTTGCTACCAACCTTTACTGCCTGTTGTTCCAACCTACGGTATCATGGGGTTTGCAGTTTGGTGAGGTTTTAAGAATCTTCTGCTAGGGAGGCTCAAATGCGCTCTCCTGCATTGTGACAAGAGAGTTCTAAGCACTCCATCGAACTACAGATCCCAGAATTGCGTGGGCAATCAATTAAAAAAGTGGACATGGCACTGCTCTAATTGTAGAGGTCTTAGATACATTCCAACCTCCATGTGTTAGATGGTTGGCATCATCAGCTTACCAGCACCCTCTTAAGAGCATGAGCATCTCGATGCTGCTTTCTAATCTCTGTCCTCAATGGAGTGGGTTCTATAATACAACCTGTAAAAGACACTGTAAGGGACACTGTTTCCCTTAACAGCTCTGTAACAGAAAAGGGTTTCTGGTAAGATGACATGGCTGCAGAACATTCTCTTGCCCTGTCTTCCAAATAAAATTTATTCCTTATACTTAGTTTTTTTTACTGAAACATGGAAACCCTTTAAACTTAGGAATTTCCTCTAGGGAGCAGCTTTATAACTGCAGCCAAGAAAGAGGAATGTATGAAGCAACCCCTTCCCACGGCCATGTATTAAAGCAATAAGACGTTGACCAAAAAAGGGGTGGGTGGGGAACACTGTCACTTTGCAGCCACTGGACCGTGGAGCCCATGTTGACCTTGATCCCTCGTTAGCCTCTTTGGCAAAATTTCAACCTGGTATTAATTTTCAGTTCTCCCTGCCGGCTTTCCTCCAAACAAGAGAAAAATAACAGGTGACTCAAGAGGGTGGCAGAGCTCCAGAGTTCTTTGGGCGACGATCCTTAGCGGCCTGTAGGGCTTGCATGAAATGAGGAGAACTCGATCCTCTTCCCATGTCCCTGTTTGGCACTGATTTCAATCTGAATCATAGAATTCCTTGCTGGCTAGAAGTCTTTGATCCTGTTCTGCCCCCTGCTATTTAAGACAGACACACTCCCCCAAATCCCCGTAGCGATTAAAAGTCAGTCCGGAATATTGGTCGATGTAGTTCTCCTGTTGCTCCAGGCTTTCTGCCACAGCGGTGCCAGGTGGTAAATGAGAGAGACAGAATTTCCTGGGGAAGAGTAAACAGATGGGTAGGGAGGTCATCTGTCCACTGAAAGCATGTATTGGTTTAGAATAAGCCCGGCTATTTCCCAGGGTTGGAAGATCAGTGTGTCTTATTTGGAGCAAATCTGAAAACCTTGGACTGGATAACATGAAAAACCTTAGATGCTGTAGCTCCCATCATCCCTGACTGCTAGCTATTTTACCTAGGGGATGATGACAACTGCAATCCAACAGGCCTCTACAGCAGTGGTTCCCAACCTTGACCCCCTCCAGATGTTCTTGGATGACAATCCTAGTAATCCTGAGCAGCATACCTAGTGCTGAAGGCTTCTGGGAGTTCTAGTCCAAGAACATCTGGGGACTCAAGGTTGGGAAGCACTGCAGGGCGACCAAGGTTCCCCAGCCTGACAGATGCAACATTTGCAAGTCGAATCCTATAGTACTGTATCTGTGTGTCATATCCCTGATGAGCTGAAAGAACGGGAAGAGCTTTAACCAAACTGTTCAGGAGAGATCCCTCCATCGCACAAATTTTGGTGCCAGAATAATATGTTAGCCTGAACGCCACCTCTATCCAGGCAAAGGCTGAAGCTTCGGTCTGCTGTCTGTTCTCGGAAGCGGCCTCTGCTTTCGACCCTCCTTAACGAAGAAGTAAAATTGCCGAACTGGACGAGGCAAGAATGCTAGAAAATTTAGAGGCAGCTAAAATGGAAACGAGGGTTCTAGCCACAGCCCCCTCCCCTGTTGGAAGTATTAATGCACCAACCTTTGAAAGCCCTCACCTCATTCCTTCCGCACCCCCCCCCCCAATGCCTATAATCTATTTAATGGGAAATAAATTCTGATCTTGCTTAGGTAAAGAGAGGCGTTTTCTGCCTCTTACGAGACCACTGCCTAGCCAAAGGAGTAAACCTGTGTATAGCCTTTTGGGGCCAGAGATTAGAGACGGCAGCCTTAGGACGGCTGTGCTTTTCCCGGCCCGCTGAGCGCAGTTTCAAACTTCATTATTGACAGTGCATAGGAGCCTGGCCGAAGAGCAGCGAGAGGCTTCTGGGACGACACATACACACTGAAGACCCTCTCTGTATGTTCTGGAGTCAATACATGCTTCCTTGGCTGAATCACTAATTAACTGAATCGTCTCAATTTGCACTGTATCTTTTTGGGTGTGTATGTGTATGTTTTTAAAACAGATAAGCTAATGATAATTTCAGAAGCTAATTTCTTCCACTCGTCTTACAGACCGGAAGGAAAACAAACCTCTGTATGGGGCATCCCCTTCTAACGATCATCTCCTAAGCTTCCTTTTGACACTCTTTAACTCCAAAGACAATCATGTGTTAGGAATGGAACACTTGGAAGGTTTTGTATGCTGGAAGTTTGTATGGCAAATGTAATGAAGATATCTGAAACAGTATTATATAGACGTTTGCAGACACATTTAAATAAACCTTTTAAAGCAGTATCCTTTTTGCCATCTGGTATTTATTTTGCAGAAAAGAAGTGCCCGTTTAGCTATATCCTGCACGCAGAACACCTCTGTTCACAGAAATCTGCAGACCATGATGTTTTACATTTAAAATGAAGTCTTGTGCACTGAATAAAATATTTAACAAGCCAGTCTGGTAGCAGCTTTCCAAGAACGCATCGGACGATGTGGGCCAGTCAGCAAAACGGCATGAACTGCCAATCAGCTGTGCGGCTGGTAAACAATTCACACCAAATCAACGGTTTGTGCCCATCTTTATATGTCAGATAAAGCTGGTTTGTTTCTCAGGCCTTGATTCAGAGATCCTATCACATGTCAACTCAAAAAGTCTACCATTTTACCGCTGTAAAAAGGTAAAGGTTCCCTTGACATTTAGTCCAGTCGTGTCCGACTCTAGGGGGCAGTGCTCATCCCAGTTTCCAAGCCATAGAGCCAGCGTTTTGTCCGAAGACAATCTTCCGTGGTCACGTGGCCAGTGCGACTTAGACACGGAACGCTGTTTACCTTCCCACTGAGGTGGTCCCTATGTATCTACTTGCATTTGCATACTTTCGAACCGCTAGGTTGGTGGGAGCTGGGACAAGCAACAGGAGCTCACTCCGACACATGGATTCAATCTTACAGCTGCAGATCTATAGCCCTTACAGGACAGAGGCTTCTGCGGTTTAACCCACAGCACCACCACATCCCTGGACCTTATATTACAGGTGGCCAAGTCTGAATGTGAGACTGACCCCTATAAGGACCCTGAAGACTTGTCCCCACAATAAACATGGTTTCATTAAGAGAAGACAACAGTTTCCAATTATATTTAGGGAGCTTGACGGGTGAGGAGGGGACAGCTAACCAGGATCACAGTCAAATAAAAACATAAGCCTAATGTGCCCATATATTTAACACTGACCAGAATCCTGTTCCTGATTTACACTTGCTTCTGCAATGTCTGTCAAGCCTTGGAGGCAAATTCCTGCTCATTAATGAAGTGCTGGTTGCATTCCTGGGGACACACCCCAAAACACAACCACCTGGTCATTAAGGAGCCACAGTTAATGTCCTCACACAAACTTAAACCAATAATAGGACTTCTGGCCTCTCTTTGTGGTTTGCACGGTTGGCGTACGGCTACACTATTCCAATGTGGGCGACGTCTTAAACCAATAATAGGACTTCTGGCCTCTTTTTGTGGCTTGCATAGTTGGCGTACGGCTACACTATTCTATTCCAATGTGGGCGACGCCGGAAGATGCATCTTGTCTTCTTTTCATAATGCCTTTCCTGCCTTAATGTATTGTTTTGCTTGAGAGTTTTTTTTTTAATGGAAATACATAAAATGCTCACGACACACAAATCCTTCTCCATATCCTGATTGTATAATAATAAGGACAAACAGTTTCTAAATTCTGCCTTTATTAACATATCAACCATGACATTGTGCTCAGAGCAGAAGGGCTGTACAGAAAATTAGGAATTGGGGGTACTGCATACATACAAGCACAATGTAAAGAAATGCTCTATTGAGTATCTTAAACTTTCTTTGAGTTCACGAGTTCCCAATACTCACAAACCACTGTCTTTCCCCTTCAAAGCCCCTGAGTAGGAGAGGCATAAATACATAGCATTGGATTTTAATCTTGCAAATGGCTCATACCAGTCCATAGTCCAAAAGCAAGTTCCAGCGCTTCTGAGCCTGTTGACCCCTCGTCTCTCCTATCCTCTCCGAACACAAAGAATTCGTGGAAAGCAACTCTCTTAGAACCAGTTCTTTGAGGACATGCACAGAACAGTTTCCTTACAGCTGGTGGGAAGAACACCTTGTGGTCTCCATAAGCAGTTGTGTGTATGTGGTTTTTTTGTTTAAAAAACAGACTTAAACTGCCAATCAACTCTCCCCATAGTAGCTTATGTTTATTGCTGTTTTGATTGTTACACACAAGGGCTCAGAACAAGTGAAATTTGTCCTTTTTTGTCCTTTTGAGGTAGATCATTAAGTAGAAATGAAGTTTCTCCCAAAGTGTGTAACATCATTTGAGTCTAGATCTAAAAAATATCTATCTATCTATCTATCTATCTATCTATCTATCTATCTATCTATCTATCTATCTATCTATCTATCTATCTATCTATCTATCTATCTATCTATCTATCTATCTATCTATCCATCTATCCATCTATCCATCCATCTATCCATCTATCCATCCATCTATCCATCATCACTTGGACAGGCTCTGGCACAGTTAAAGAACAGAACCCTCTTTCCACTGCATGTCTATATGAAAAATGGCAAATAAGCCATTGATCACACACAGCAGAGTGGAGGAATGAGGTGGCTGGCTGGGCCTTAGCTGGACTGGACTTCCCATCCTCTCTCACCCTGGGCTATGCTGGGTGGATCTGATGGGAAGTATTCCCGTCTAACAATTCCAACCCCTTAAAGAACCAGGACATGGAGCATGGTGTTGTGCACAAAATGACAGACTAGAACTCGGGTTCTGATGCACACCGGGCGATGGAAATTCACTGGGGGTTTGGCACTCCTTAAACGTTCCAGATACCTTGAAAGCACTATTAGGTTCTGACTTGATAGCACATAACACCTATTTGAAAGGACCACCATTAGTGGAAAGGAATCTATGTCTTGCTTTTCCTTTGATAAGCTCACAATGGCGCACTTGCCCCCCTTCCCATCCTCCCCAGTGAATTTCATGGGTCAGTAGGGACAACCTGTATCTCCCAGTTCTCAGTCCAGCAACACCCACTTATACCACAGGGTTCTTGCTACATTCAACAATTTCTGAAGAACCGCACGTTTCCCACCCATCCGGCACTCAACCAACGACAGTACGTAGACATAAAGACATTAAAATCAGATAACTTTTGCTGCTATTGAGATTTCCTGCTCATACAAGGTAAAGTCCTTTTAGACGACAGCAAGCCACTCGGTCTACATAGCAGAGCGGGCATCAAAGCCCAGCCTGCTCGGACAATTGCCAGGATCCTGGCCTTCAGGCAGAACCCACTATCCTGAGCCTTCACCTTTTGCAGCCGGAGGCACTGGCTGGCAGCTAAATTCCCTGCAAATCCCCAGAGCCATGCCATTGTGGAAACTCGAAAGGGCTGCCCTTGGCCACCACAAAATAATAATAATAAGTTTTTAAAAAACACCTACAGCTTCAATGAAGAAACCATTGTTCGCTGTGTTTCTAGGTGATGGTTCTACATGGCCTTCCATTTATGGTTTGTCCTAGGCAGAGAGCAGCTCTGGATGAGATGGGATGAGATCTCCTGCCTTGGGCAGGGGGGCTGGACTAGAAGACCTCCAAGGTCCCTTCCAACCCTACAACAATTCTATGGTTCCTTCAAAGAGGTGAAGCTTTTAAAAAGTGTCTACAGTCCAGAGATCCATCCCACCTGGACATTTGCTGAGGAGCGCACATGTATTCCACTCACTCACTGGTCACCTGTCCACATATGGGACTGGCCAGACTTTCAGGGTGTAAATGCCCCACAAAAACAGAACCAACTCTTCACTACAGTCAATACTCTTATAGCATTGGCCAAGGGGGTGGAATCCTGGTGATATTATTAATAGCTGCATATCTATCCCACCTTCCCTCTGATGTGCAAATGGAGTTGCTTCGGTTTCCCCTCTCCCCATCCTCACAACAACCTTATGAGGTAGGCCAGTCGGAAGGAGTGCTGAGGGGAAAAAAATAGCCTCAGGTCACAAAATATGTTTCATGGCTAAGCGAGGATTAGGAACCAGGTCTCCCGTGGGTCCCTCCATCAACTCCAACCACCCCACCACACCGATGCGTTTCCAAGGACTTTCCTGAACACTAGGTAAAAAACATAGGGCAACAGCCATGCCCTACCACTGATTTTCAGAGAGTAATTATGCCCTAAATTAGAGGAAAGGGATCTTTAGCCCACACCTACCCAAAACTCTCCTGGAGAGGATATAGGGAAGAACCCACTCCCGTCCCCTTAAAGACCCTGAGGGTGAGTGGGAGCTCAGAGAGGAAATCCCAAATTATTGTTCATCTGTGAGTGAAGGTAACATAAGGGATTCCCTTATCTTGCCCTTCCCCTGCCCCAAATATTTATATATTATTCATTTTAGTGCCAAAAACGTGTCTCTCCCATGTGGAGAAACTGGAAATAGGCCTGGGATTAAAAGTTTGGGGCCAAAAACGGTCTCTGGCCTCGTCCCAGCAGCATCCATTTTGGGGTTCAAATGTCCCCCCCTTCCTCCATTTGAGACACCTTTAGCTATGCTTTTGGCCTTTATTACATAAGACACCCTCCCCACAAATCACTCTTTTTCAAAAGAATGGTTTTAAATGTTTTAGTTCATAATATGCCGTTTGTACCAATACACATGCAGGGAATAAATATGGGGTGAAGGCTATGTGATATTCTTCCTAAAACAGACTTATCTAATTACTCCGATTAGTTACATAAAACAAACGGCAATGCTACAGTCATGACAACTTAATGAAGGAAACAATGGGAAAGTAATGTTCTAAAACTGCAAACCCAAACCTCCTGTTTGTTTTCATGGTGCATTAACAGCTTTATGCCTGAACCACTCTGTTTTCCCTCCTCAAGATCTCTGGCTGGCAGGAACAGAAGCCAGAGATCGCCCTGCTGATTCAAAGAAGGTCTTTCTTTCTGTTTATACAACCAGTTGGTAGATTTCTCCTTGCACCATCAGAGAAGGGCCAAACAGGAAATGTATTATTCTGTGTGTGCCCGGGAACCTGGGCAATGTGGCCAAGGGGTAAATAAATATAATTCAACTCAGAAGGATTTAGGAGAAAATATACAAGAGATTACACTGCACATATTCCGGCCTAATGCTAGAAAAGAATTTTACTGCAACAGGATTTTGTTGCGTTTCGAATTCTCAAGACAACATTGGTTTCGGTGTGGTGCATTTCACAAAAGCAATACATGCACAAAACCCCCCAAAGAGCCAAAAGATCATGCAGTCGAAACCTGAGCATGAACATGCTTCGGTCTATGGGTGAAATACACGTCACAACACATATTATGCACACAATCCTGTTAGGATTTGTGGAGTGTAAGGCCCCACCATAGGCAGGATGTTATGTGCAGTCTCCAGCTCATAGCTGGCTAATCTCCCCATTCTAAGCAGCCAACTTTGAAGTCACTCAGGTGGGTACAGAATCTCTTCTTAAGCAAATGTCTGAAAGAGGGATCATGTATAAAAATGGAACACTTATGCACATCGTTGAAAGAAACACATTGTTAAAAGCCTAACCTTTCCAAAAATGTAGGAAGTGAGCGAAAGGCATCCTTCAGTCTCGAGAGACCATGGTAACATGCTCTGTATAGAACAAAGTCTCACAGCCTGAAACAAACGAATGCCAGCCAACGCAAGAACGTGGAGGAGAGTTAATGATGTGCAACAAAATTAAGAGTTATTTTCACATTCTGATTCCTCATTAGAGCAGCTTTGATTTAAATCACGACTTAAATTTTAAAAATCTGTTTTTTACAATTTATAATCAATTATAAAAAATTTAGTGACTTAAACCAAATTGATTTTTTAAAATCATCTACTTTTGTCCATCCTACGCCCACTCTAGCCTGATCCAGGTGAATGGATTTAAATTTGAATTTAAGTGCTGCTATTTAAGACAGCATCTTAAAAAGCAGAGACCTCACCTTGCCGACAAAGGTCCTCATAGTCAAAGGTATGGTTTTTCCAGTAGCAATGTATGGAAGTGAGAGCTGGACCACAAAGAAGGCTGACCGCCAAAGAATGGATGCTTCTGAATGGTGGTGCTGGAAGAGGCTCTTGAGAGTCCCCTGGACTGCAAGGAGATCAAACCTATCCATTCTGAAGGAAATCAACCCTGAGTGCTCACTGGAAGGACAGATCCTGAAGCTGAGGCTCCAATACTTTGGCCATCTCATGAGAAGAGAAGACCCTGATGTTGGGAAAGTGTGAAGGCAAGAGGGGAAGGGGACGACAGAGGATGAGATGGTTAGACAGTGTCGTCTAAGTGACCAGCATGAATTTGACCCAACTCTGGGAGGCAGTGGAAGACAGGTAGGCCTGGCATGCTCTGGTCCATAGGGTCACGAAGAGTTGGACACGACTTAACGACTAAACAACAACAATTTAAATTTTTAAGCCTCCCTGGTTTCGTGTCTAAAACAGGAGATGTCTAAACATCCACCAAGCCTTGTCCAGCTACGGTTCGCTATCAAACTGAATCCAAAAGAGCAGTTCTCTGCCGCTACTGAGCTGTGTGTTAAATCTTGCCCCAAGAAGTTAGAGAAGGGCAAGGTTTTCCCACACTGCTAGGGAGAAGAACACTCAGGGACGGTCCTTCCTGTAAAGGCAGTAGTGTCCAACCCTGTGAAACCGATGTGGCATTTTTGAAGAACTCCCATACAGATCAAAAGCCTTCTGGTCTTTCTCCCTCTTGATGCAGCACACCATCAGTGCGGGCTAACCAGTAAGATTGCGCAAGGCACCCACACTTCCTCCCACCCGACACAACAGCCGAACATTTGCAAATTCCCCTAAGTGCTGAGCAGGGAATTGAAAACCGTCCCGTCCTGCTTCTGACCTCAAGACAGCCATTTCTCACCGATGTGTGCAGACTGGCAATGAGTCACATCAGTGAGAGAACGATGCTCCCTCACTGAGAAAGGGTCCTCTTCTCCCAAGTAATCCCAAGGAGCCACCAATTGAGTAATCAATTTGGTGGCCTGGGATTTCAGCAATTTATAACTCACCCACCAGCCATGGGCGATGGGTCCATGCAATTTCCCTTTTGACTCTGAGGTGCCAAAACCTGAGGGAACGGTGGAGAAGGAAGTGCTCGCAGCCGACAATGGGCCGCCTGTTTAGCCAGCCTGCTGTGATGCCACACCAGACTTCTGCCTTACAATTTGTTCCTGGATCTAGTTTCCACCACCAATGAGGAAAAATTACCCTTTTGGATGACCAGTTCCAGAATCCTCCCCATACTTAGCTGGGGATCTGGGGAAGAGTCATCCAGAAGGATAATTCTTCCAAGCTGTGCTCTTTGTTCTCAACAGGCTGCGCATACACGCCCACTTCCTTTCTGTATCCATACAGTACATCGAATGCTGAGAACAAGAGATATTTAATCATCTAGCCCGCATTTTTAAAACAAGAATTTTAAAATATCGAATGCTGAGAACAAGAGATATTTAATCAGCTAGCCTGCATTTTTAAAACAAAAATTTTAAAATATCAAGAATTACCGTATTTTTCTGTGTATAAGACGCCCCCATGTATAAGACGTCCCCCACTTTTCTACCCAAAATTAAGAAATCTAGCAAGTGTAGGGGAAAGGGATCAACACACTGCAGGATCGCTTTGATCCCTGCTTTCCCCTCCACTTGTTTTTGTACTCTCCTCAGCTTACTTCTGTGTTTAAGACAACCCTCAATTTTTAGTCTGAAGATTTTAGACAAAAGTACAGTCTTATACATGGAAAAATATGGTATTTTTCCCCATACCATTTATGCAACATTATAGGTGTGGGGGGTGGGGGAGAAAATGTGATCCAGCTAAGACATTGATCAGTTACTGCGCAGGCCCCTGTCCTCAGTGGATGGTTTTCAGGTCCCCTCATCCCCCCACTTTCCGTTTATCTGATGAGGATGATTCTGTACTGCTGCATAGTTAGGCGTTCTCCCACACATACCCATTCCTGGGTGCTCCTATTTTGGTCTTGTGGACACCCACATCCTTGTTCCAAGGACTAGAAACATAAGGAACGAAATGCTTTTATACAAGATTCATTAACTCTTGACAGGGTGTGCTCTTTCTTCTTAAACATCACTCTGACAACGGTCATACAAGAACAAAGACACTCAGACACATATATAAGGCAACGCCTTCCACAACTTCAGACCTCTAGCCCTAGTTAAGAAGAGATCTGAAAAAAAATACTGCTAAATTCATATCATTATTTTTTTTTAAAAAAAATCTTTTTAAAAACACTTTTCACTATTCCATATTTAAATAGTACCTTTCCTTAGAAAACTTAATACCTACTGGGAAATGACAGATTCCTGAGCAAAAAGTCCCTCGTTGGACTCATCAGATTGTCAAACATCAAAAGGGATCCTTAGAGTTTGAAAGTCCACAGCAACTTCACAGTCGCTTTGCAAAGACTCTGCTTACTGTTCCAAAGTTTGGGTCAGCATCGGTGTCTTCCATCCTTCTCCAGCAGCAGCAACGCTCTCATCCGACCACCGGATCCGTTCGGGACTTTCCAGCAATACCCGCCTTTGGGTTGCATGCCAGCCGAGACTTGGTCTTACAACCAAACCAATTCCGTTTCGCAGAGATATGAACCAAACCCGAGCGGAGAGCCTCTTCCGTCAGTAGGCTGACAGTTGGATCACCCGGAATTCGGTCAGCAGCGCAATCGTCAGGAATACCAGGTAGTAGACAATGAGGCAGCAGCCATACCCTCGGCCCAGCTGGAAGCACTGGGCAGGAACGGACAGGAAAGAGAACACCAGGCTGAACCCCAGCGCGCCGGCCAAGATCCACACCAGAAGACCTTCAGATTCGAGCTGTAGTGGGGGAACGAGAAAAGCACAGAAAGCCCCTTAGAGGCCAGGAGCAGCACTCAAGCACACAGTAAGTGTAGCTGACCCTCCAGTCGGCTACACTTACTGGAGGGTCAATCCAGAGCTTGGAAATAAGTGGTGAAAAAAAATTAAATTGTTTGTTTATGTGTGTGTTTGCAAAAATTAATTCTACAATGATTTTGCAGGTAAAAGGTTCCCCTTGACATCTAGTCCAGTACAGGGTTGGCAGTCGGCAGAGATATTAGTCCTTGTCCTCACTCTTCTTCCTTGTTTGTTGCATAAAGGAAGAAATAGGGTTATAGTTTGATTTGGACTAGAACATTCATATGTTTTTGTGGCTCTATCTGGGTACTAAATTACTTCATTGCCTCATTGGCAGAGAACCCTCTGTGTGCTTCCAAAATTAGGATAATCCAGGAAACTTCCACCAGCATATACTGTATTTTTCCGTTTATAAGATGAGCCAATGTATAAGACAATTCCCCCTTTCTAACCCCAAATTAGAAAATTTGATCCCTGCTTTTCCTTTCCTTTTGCTAAGCCACGGAGCTTAGTACAGTGGACCCTTGACTTACAGACGGCTTGACTTACAGACTTTTTGAGTTACAGACTTCTCTGGCCGCAAAATTTAGGTTTGACTTGCAGCCTGAGAATTGACTTACAGACCAGAAAAAAACCAAAATGGAACAAAAACGGCCTGTTACGGGATTAATCAGTTTTCAATGCACTGTAGGTCAATGGAGACTTGACTTACAGACTTTTTGACTTGAGAAGTGCCTTCCAATACGGATTAAGTTCTCAAGTCAAGACCCCACTGTATACGTACGGCATGTATACGAGTCGCCCTTCTGCTGGATAACAGTGTTGATGGAAAAAACAGTATCTCAGGAAGTGGAGCTGCTTATTTTCACACAGATCTTCCTTGGCCATGCAGGGAAGAGGTAGGGGGAGAGTGTGGCCAGCCACAGAAGGCAAATATGGGCTCCCTGGCCTTCTGAAGCTGATTAATTAGTTTCACTAAATCACATGGGCTTAGTTTTACAGTAACATGGCCAATCTCTGGGTAGATTTCCATTTTCTGGGGCCCAGAGAAGAAATTTCTTCCCTGCCCCATTCAAGAAGGTGGAGTCTTCTCCACGCCAAGTGGGTGCTCTACCACAGATGATTCTTCCAGGTAAAGGTAAAGGTTCCCTTTGGCATTTAGTCCAGTCGTGTCTGACTCTAGGGGGTGGTGCTCATCCCCGTCTCCAAGCCGTAAAGCCAGCTTTTGTCCGTAGACAGTTTACGTGGTCATGTGGCCAGTGCGACTAGACACGGAATGCTGTTACCTTCCCACTGAGGTGGTACCACATTTTTACATGCCTTCGAACTGCTAGGTTGGCGAGGAGCTGGGACGAGTGATGGAAGCTCACTCCATTGCATGGATTCAATCTTACGACTGCTGGTCTTCTGACCTTGCAGCACACAACGGCTTCTGCAGTTTAACCAGCAGCGCCACCACGTCCCACGTCTCCCAGAAGGAGCATTTGTTCTCCTCACAGTAGTGGGTTTTATACTGATGTCAGCAGTATTTTTCCTCACCAGACCTATGACATTCCCCTTGTTGATTTATGCATGCTTTTCTTCTGTGAGTTTCCACTCCTTTTTGCTCCTTCTGAAAGCATGGTTTATTTTTTAGCAAGGCTGTGTGTCGGGGTGGTGGTGGAGTTTACAGTCATGTGTAGCTGATATCTGCAGTCAGAAATTTTCAGTTAGCATGGGGCAAGAGAGGGGGGGGGATATTCAGTAGAGAAGCTCCAGCAAGGAAGTGGATTTCTTTCAAAAATTCTTGAAAAGAGGAGTATCTGAAAGCATGGTTTATTTTTTAGCAAGGCTGTGTGTCGGGGTGGTGGTGGAGTTTACGGTTATTTGCAGCTGATATCTGCAGTCAGAAATTTTCAATTAACATGGGGCAAGAGAGGGGGGGGATATTAAGTAGAGAAGTTCCAGCAAGGAAGTGGATTTCTTTTAAAAATTCTTGAAAAGAGGAGTGGATTTCTGAAGAGAAATCTGAATACAAATTCTTGTAAATCCTGCTGGTGCCAAGTGACAGGGAGCAGAGTAGAACCAATCATTGCCAAAAACGGAGTTACAGAGGCTCTTGGAAACGCTACAGAGGCGAGACATGCCTGTCAGATGTTCCATTTCAATTTCTGTTTCTTTTCCAGATAGTGGAAGACTACGGCAGGGGTTTAAGCAGGAGGGGAGGTAAGAAAAAAAGGGAAGACACACGTCCATACCCTGACCACGGATTTGGTGCTTGTCATCTGCAGCAGACATCCGAGTCCCACGCCAACGAGCATATCTGGAGGAAAGCTCAGGAAAGACACACAAACGGCCTAGAATGATACTAATTTGGAAAGCGTAATAGTTCATCCACCCGAATAAACTAAGCTGAGTGGTTTAGATCTCCGGCTGCAGAGCCTTAGGTTGGAAGTTCGATTCCCCGTTGGGTCCCTTCCAAGCTCTGCAGTTCTGCTAAGATCCTGCTAAGGCTTGCGATTTAGGCAAGGAAGGGGACAGACAGACAAAAGAGGGGCAGTACATTTAAACTGGGCGGCTTCTGACGGGGAAGGAAACTGCCTCCTTTGGAACGGCCAAGGGGAGGTTTTTAAATGTGCTGAACAAGCCACATACCTTCCAAAGAGGGAGGGGACCTGGGCCAGACCTCGGTCTCTTGTTCATTCACCACAGCCTTTTCCAGCCTGGTGCCTTGTAGATATGTTACAAATGTCCCTCTCCCCAGCCACCTTTGCAGCATGGAGATGATGGGACGTGCAGTCCAGCCTACCTCGAAGGTTCTGGATTAGGGAAGGTCAATGTCACAAACCCACCGTGGCCAGGCTGGCTGGGGATGAGGAGAGCTGCAAGCCCCAGAGCCTCTACAAGGCACCCTGTTGGGGAAGGCTCGTTTCATTCACAACGCCTGCCTCAAGGGTCCCAGAAGACAAGGACAATCGGTAGGGCTGCAGTGGCTGTAGAGCTTCCTCAAACGAGAGCCCTGAGTTCGAAAGAGCACAGCAGACAACCCACCCTAGGGTTTTGTAGACTCAGCCACAGCAGTTATAGGGGTATCAAACTACTGTGACTCTGCAGACTATATACAGTGGTGCCTCGCAAGACGATGTTAATTCGTTCCGTGAAAATCGCTGTTTTGCGAAAACATCGTCTTGCGAAAAGTGTTTCCCCATTTGAATGCATTGAAATCTGTTTAATGCATTCCAATGGGGAAAAATCGTCGTCATTTTGCGAAAATCGCCCATAGGAAAACTGTTTTGCAAAGCACGGATCAGCTGTAAAAATCGTGGTCTTGCGAAAATCGGTCCAGAAAAAAAAACTGTCTTGCGAAGCACGGACCAAAACATCATCCAGCGAAAATCGCCCATAGAGAAACCCGTTTTGCGAAGCGCTATAGCGATCGCAAAAACTCATCATCTTGCGAATAAAGCGTTTTGTGAGGTAATCGTCTAGTGAGGCACCACTGTAGACACACAGAGAACAGATTGTTTGCCTAGTAGCAGAATTCTGGACCTGACTTTTTGTAAATCATGGGTCCTAACCCAAAAGCTTACAACTGGCTAACTGAATTTTGCAAAGACCTGTTTGAAGGCACCCAGTCCGTGGCCACTTTTTTACAGGTCAAGGGGCAACTGAAGCTGATAAGAGAACAGCACGCAAAAGCCTTGGCACAGAAATATTCCTTCCCCTTTGATTTGACTTGCCCATCTAAAACCACTGAATGTTGCAAACCCTTGCCAAATCTACTAAACTGTCTAAAGATCCACCAGGAGATCCTGATCTCCTCTGGTCTAGATCGGATAAATGCATGGCAAAAGAATTCTATATTTGACTGAGAAAAACCAAGCCTCCAAAGTCGGGGGCGATCTATCTTTGAACTAAACTTTTAGGAGAACAGAAAGGGTAGGGTGAGCCAGCTCTACACCTCACTTGTGGAGTTTGCAGGAGGCATTTCGCTGGCCAGTGTTGCAAACACAGTGTCGGATCCGGACAGGCCTTCGGTATGATTCATTAGCAGGCCACTTTTGTAAAACAGGGAAAAGGTATCCATGTAATAAATAAAATCGTATTATGAACCCACCTACAGCTCAGGTTATATGGGGGGGGGGAACAGAAGGCTGAAATCTGACTAGTGGAGATTGTGGACTCAGATTGTGTGAGAACAGTGAGTCCACCCCGGGTTTTACTCTGAACTTTACAAAAGCTATCCAACAAGCTATATTTATTTTGGAGACAAGAGTTCCACAACGTGGATAGCTCCTGAAAGGTCTGGATTAAAAAGCAGAGTGGATTTGCCACCCTCACCAGACGTGACCCACCAGCCTCCACGGACATTGGGGTTGAGGGAAACATCGCTAGGCGCCAACAAAGACATCCAGAAGGATACTGAATATAATGCCTCCAAAGCAGGCGGAGAAAGCCATGCGGGGGTATCCCTGCCGAGCCATGGTGAGGTCAGAAAACATGTCTGCGAGAAAAGGACAAGAGGAAAGAGAAGGGTGGGGTGGGAGATAAGAGAAACCAATCAATACAGTTTTAGCCCTCATATAATGGAGTCCCTCTGTGCCAAATCCTATTCTTTCATTATACAAAAAAGAAGGGGGAGCCGGGAGGTACAAAAAAAATTTATATATCCATTTTGATCCTCCCAACACAAGGTCGGGACATTTGTTTCGGCCAGAGAATCAAAACGAGGTTCAGAGGAGTTGTCAGGATCTCGTTTCAGGGGTGTCGGGGGGGGGCAAAGCAAAGATCTGGGATAAAAATAGTAGCATATTTTAGACCGAATGTTTACTTGCTAGTAGCTAAGCCACCAGGCAGGCATGTCACCTTTTAAAAATGGGGGTGAGGAATGTAGAAAAGCCGGGACAACCACCGTCAAGTCTGGAGCTTGAGATACTCGGCTTTTGGAACACAGCTTTAAAATCACTGGGGGTGTATGAAGGCGGGGGCTTCCTGGCTCAAAATGTCACGATTTTCTGACCAGCTGGGTCAATGACTTCCCCTCCTCTCCTCTTTGCTCCTGAGCAGACTCTGTCCTGAGCAGACGCTGAAGACATGGCCCCATTTCCTCCAACGATCGCTTTGCTGCTGCGAGCTGTCCAAACAAACCCCCACACTCACCCCCGATGCTGTTCCCCCAGGCCAGGAGCGTCAGCCCCAGGACGGTGTTGCTCAAGTTGAAGATGACCCCCATCGTCCTCAAAAGGTTGACCACCTCGGTCGCCGCAGTGCTGATCCACAAGGCGCTGACCAGGAAACCGAGGAAGGCAAACACCTGTTGGAGCAGGGAGGGGGTTGGGGTTGGGGGAGAGAGAAAAAAGGAGGAAGAAGCAAGTAGAGGAATAAGTAGAAGAAGAGCCAGCCATGTCTTCTTCTTGCCCCCGATCCAGGCACAGGGAGAAGAAATCCTCTCAGATTTTTTTGCTCTCCTTTCCCCCCCAATTTCCTTTTTATCGTGATCATAAGAGGTTTCTAAAAATGGATGGTGGGCAGAAAGGACCCATGGGCCATCTGTTGCCGACCTCTGCGTAAAGGGATTAAGTCGGTGCATCCATAACTCTCCAGTTACCCCATTTGTCTCATCATCTCTCTGCTACTGGGGGAAAAGGTTCAGACGAGATTCAAGCATCAACGGCACAAATAAAATTCAAGGCAGCCCGGAGGCCTTCAATACTCACGCAGTGATACAAGGGGGGCTCATCATTTCTCGTAGTGCAAAAAACGATCCCAGCCAAGGCGGCCCCTACGAGGAGCACGAGGGCCCACACAGGAAAGACCCCCTGGATTTTGTAAAGACCGTCTGCAAAAAACACAGAAGAAGAAACAGATGCACAGATTTAGCCCTTGGCTGGTGCTCGTTCATTTCTGCACATTACAAAAAAGGGGAAAGGCCAATACAGTACTGAAAAAGTTAAGTATTTCAACTGATTATGCTTTTTGAATGCCTCAAACATGTAGGGAGCCATCATCCGAGCATGAAAATGTTGGGGGCTAAACGTCTTAGACCATTAACACCATGACCAGTCAACATGGATTCTAAGATTTGTAGTTGCTGGAAGTAAATTTCCCAGACTCGGGTCACCTGTCAAGAACCTGAGTTACCTACGTGAGAGTTGGGGCACTGGATTCTTTCAGGATACAGAAACATGCCTTCTGCCAGTGGAAGGCACGTTATCGTATGTATTTAATCTGGAAAAGTCCCGCCCGCAGCACTCCAAAGGGCCTCTTTTGGGCGCCCTCCCTGAACCTGCCCATGGCTGATCAATAGAGATCCTGTCCCAAATGTAGAATTACAATCCGAGATACCTCCAAAGGGGTGCAATTCGACCCAAATGTCACTTATCCCTCCACTTTCTATGGCAGAAGGGCTTCAAATAACCACAAAATATGCCTTTTTTGGGGGGGAGAGGTCTGCTGAGGTCCAAGCCATGGTGAGGGATGGGGAGCTGGTGTGACCCCCCCCCGAACCCTCTGCAGTTCTTTCCCTTCTGGACCGACACACAAGGATCAACGCAAGGGAGAAAAACCGGACACTTACAAGCACCAGACTTCAACGTGAGCGTGCAGACCAGGGGGCCGGTGATCAGGTGCAGGCAGTTGAGGGGCCGCTTCCAGTTTTGATCTTCCCGGTCGGGATCCACCACAGGGACCGTCAGCAGCAGCACGATCTCCACTGGCAGCTGAGGAGACATATCCGGGGAGGATTGGGGAGAGAAGGAGTAACCAGTCCAGCAGGCTCCCTCAACCATTTGTTGGGAAATCGGCCTCCCAGGTCCTTGTTTATTAGAATGCATGTTTCATACACTGATCTGTATAGTTATGCACATGCCAAAGGATGTGAGCAACAATCAGCCATAAGATCTCCCCTCCTAACCCTCAGAAAGGATTGCACATGATATAGCCATCAAATCAATTCCAACATCTGGCAACCCTTCCCAAGGCTTTCTAGCTATGCAGTACTCAGATGCGGTTTATCACTCCCTTCCTCTGGGGTGCCCTGGGGCTCTGCAGCCTGCCCAAGGCTACACAGGCTGGCTTTTCTGCCCAGATGCACAGAGGGGGGAATCAAACTCCCAAACTCTGTCTCCGCAGTCAGATCCTTAAACCACGGAGCGATCCATACAGCAGACACTTTTTTCTCATTTTATTGTAAAACCCAGGGATTCATACTAATTAAACTTTAATCATGGGATATTCGGGGGGGGGAGATAACAAGGACTGCTTGACACAGTGTGGAGGTTAACTGTGGAATTCACTGCCACAAGATGTAGTGATGGCTGACATCTCAAACTGCTTTGAAAGCCCAATTCAAGGAGGCAGAGTTCTCGTTGGCTACTAGTCAGGATGGCCATATATCACCTCTAGTATCTGCTTGCCGCCATCAAAACAACAGTGCCCTGTGACATCTTTAACAAGTTCTATCTGGCATAATCTTTCATGAGCATCTCCCACTTCCTCATAAAATAAGAGCTCCTCCCAAATAAATCTCGTTACTTGTAGAGAAGGCTTCCTGTGGTTGCCTTTGCTGCCACAAAAGAACACCATTATCTACTTGAAAACAATACCTATGTATAATGGTGGCTGGGGAAGAACAAGATGGAGGGTGAAGTTATGTTCACAGTAGAGATGGGCACAAATTAAGTCAGCCTGCTCTGACGAAACACGTCAGCACAGGACCAAGAGGTGCTGCATGTTCTCTTTCCCTCGGCTGGCTGGCCCACTTACAATCGGTTGTGGGCTGCCCAGGTTCCTCCGTGTCTGGTGGCTGTCCAGTCTGGGAAGAACCTGGGGCTTCTCTTCCCTGCCTCCTCTGGCAGCTGCCCACATCAGGGCTGCACAAGCAGAATCCTCATCTGAGTGGGTAGCTGCCAGGGGAGGAGGGCCTCGGCGGCCTGTGATGGATTGTAAGTGGGCCAGCTGACCAAGGGAACATGCAGGCCGCTCTGATTAAATTCATCAGCGCGGCCTGACTTAATTCATGCCCATTTCTAGTGTGAATACAACAGGGCTCCTGGTAGACAATGGCTTGGCTATTGTGGGAACATAAAACGATAGCACATAAAAAATGCTGGGTAGCTCAGTGCTTTAGGCATTCGGCTTCAGAGCCAGAGACTGAGAGTTCGATTCCCCACTTGTGCCACCTTGACAGGGGCTGAACGTGATGATCCAGAGAGTCTCCGCCAGCTCTTCAGTCCTAAGATTATTATCTTTTAAGACATCTGGTCTGATCCAGCACACCTCCACTTATATTCTTAGGTATTCTTAGCTACTGCAATACCTAGTAATTGCTATTTTTCAGCCATTTCCAGAAAATGGCGATGTTATCACCAAAACCAACATAGACATCCCACAAAACCTTAAAATAGTGAGGGAAGTGTCTACTGGTAACTTCTGTGCCAATTCTTGTGCGTCTCCAGAAACATCTCTGTCGTCACAAGAAAAGTGAAGTGGTCAGCGCACTGACTGGAGTCTTTGAGCGCCTCAGAAAAACTAAGTGTGGGAAAACTGGGCCTCAGACTCCTCTTTGCCGCCACCGGGCGTGTGGCAACTGTCTCTTTCAGCCATCGCTTTCCACACACCTCACAACAAGGCTATGGGTGGGCTGGACAAGACGAGAGTAGACAATGAGGGCGACTGTCACTGTGAGACATCCTGTGTGTGTGAGAGAGAAAAAAACATGCTACGGAGCAATAACTAAACTCACTTGATCAAGTTTCTACCTCAAAAGCAGAAATGTCATTTTTATTCTACTAGGGCACGTGGAGTGTAGACAACGGTTTGCCCATCAAAAAAAAAATTGGTTTTGAAGAGAAGTGGAATCAACTGTGTCCCTTCATAAATATCTGTTCAAGATACTGTACTTATTTACTGGTTTGTTTGTGTGGGTTTGGGGCCTTTTGCTAAGGAGGTATGAAACCCCCAAATCAATGCTGAATAAGAAAAAGGTAACAGGTTATAATAGTAGTAGTAGTAGTAGTAGTAGTAGTAGTAGTAGTAGTAGTAGTAGTAATAGTAATAGTAATAGTAATAGTAGTAGTAATAGTAATAGTAGTAATAGTAGTAATAGTAGTAATAGTAATAATAGTAATAGTAATAATAATAATAATAATAA